GGCGCACACCGTTTGGGTGCGTCGCCGTGGGTAGGGCAAGGCGATATGCAGTAGCTGCATGGCTGCAAGCGCACGCATGCGCCGCATACACTGTGCTCATAGCTTGGCTGCCGCCAAGTCATCAAAATCATTCAATAAGCTGCGCGAACACCAAGCAGCAGCATGCAGGAGGAGGAGGGGATGAGGCGCAGTTCGATCCTGCACTGTCGGGCAGCAGCATCAAGTCAACGGTACTTTAGCAGTCTTTCCAGAAGTGAGAGCACGCGGGGCATATGAGCTGGACTGTATATACGCGGGACAGGGAGCACAGCCTTGCGCCGCGGCGCACGAGCGGATCCCGCCTGCATGATCTCTGCTGCTGCATGGGCTGCGCGCGCGCCTCTGCCAGTGCACTCGCAAGCTTATGCGGGATGGCACAGCCGCGTGCGCGTCCCTCGCTGCCGCGCGGTCACTCACGACTTGTACTCGTCACAACGACTGCCTGCTCCGTACACTCACGACTCGGGCGAGGGGATCACAAGACAAAATTCAGTCAGTCGTGGGTCACACTCTGACTGACGCACGACAAGCTTCAGAACGTAGTATGTCACATGAAGGGTTGGTCGCAAGTCGTAGTAGAGTGGTGACAAGAGCGAGCAACATGCCGATTTCAAGGTGATGGTCAAAACGCCATCGTTCCATCCACGAGTTGTGGCGCATTATGCCCTCAAACTTTGGCGACGTTGATGATGGCCAGCAAGTGATCGTCGCTTTTCAGGGCCCAATCGAAGCTACAGAGTCGGGAAGCGAAGCGGAATACTTATGCGCAGCAAGTAGTCTTCGCATTGGTCTCAAGTCTTGTTGTAATCAAGTGTGAGAGCTCTTCGGTAGACAAACTTCGCACGAACGGTGGTCAAAGCGCCAAGGAGAGGGAGCATGGGCAGCCCTGACCCAATGACCTCTTGCTTCTTCCCTTACTGGCGTAGGTGATGTGATGACAGACAAGAGGTCTTGTCGAGCAATTCAACCTCCTCGCCTTGATCGGGATGAAGATCGGCTGAAACTTCGACGCCCGCTCGAAGATTCTTGAAGCTGGCGCAAAGACCCAGAGTGCAGCATCATTCTAGGATCTCCCGCGAGGCTATGAGGCACCTCTGGCAGCATAGACTTGTGAATATAGATGGAGTCGGGATCGAAAGAGGGTCGTCGATTATGCGTCGGTGCAGATGATCCTGCCTGTTCAGACGGCAGAGCGCGTCTGTTGGAAGTGCTGGTGCGCTCACGCAAAGAATCTTCGTGCACTATCATCGTGTCTGGGTCACCCCTCCACTCGCCATGCGACGCTTCTGCGAGACTGGCCCTGGGAGGGCTGTGAGATGAGCTAGGCATGGTCGCTTTGCCCTTGCCCGATGCAGCGCTCTAGAATTTTCACGCGAGAGAACATGAGTACATAGCGCAACGAACATTCACCATCTACCGTAAGCTTGTGGCTCACCTCTTCAGCTCGCCACTGCTGTAGCTTGGCATACATCGGCAGACTTTTGACGTCGAACGACTTTTGGGGCTCGAGTCTCCTGGGAACGTCGCCAGTATGTATTTCGGCCCTTCCCCATTCTGCTGGCTTGGGAAAGCCTGGCTCTGACGGTCCAGGTGTGTGTGGCTGGTGGGCTTTTCTCGAGTACGACCCTACGCAGCATCCGGAGCTGCTGCGGAAGCACCCAAATAGCTCCCCCAAAAGTCCCCTTTTCTCGAGCGTGAGCTTAGCTTGAGACGAGAAGAAGTCCCTGCGTCCATCTTCACCTTTGACAAGAGCGATATCATCGCCACTATTTCGCCTGCTCAGACGATGCTTTGAAACTGCCCAGCCTGTTGCTCCTGGCTTATGGACAAAGTCGGGATGACGTTCGGCACGGACACCATGAGCCATCTCGTGGTGAATGTCGTTGGCACTGTCGCCAGTCATTTCATCGACCCGCCAAGCCGCCGGATGGACTTGTGCTTCCATTCGACCATCATCTTCCTCCCGATGATGCGGCACGTCATGACTCTCCAAGTCCATTTTGGGACGACCATGTCGCGTGACGGGGCGTGCATTCTCTCGAAGCTGTTCCTGTCCGCGAGCAACGCTATGGACGCTGCTATCACCATAAGAAGCCATCAAGCGCTCGTAAGGCGTGGAGCCTGAGCCTGGGCTTGCTCCACGATCCGGCCGCAAATTACGACTCTCGGCCTGAGTGCTGGACGTAGAGACACTGTGCGGCTCGCTATGCCTGCCACCGTGCGACGCCATCAAGCGCTCGTAAGGTGTAGAGCTTGAGCTGGCTCGGCGACCTGACTGCGAATTGTCAGGTGCGACGGGGCTGCGAGACGTCGAGGGAGTGTGATGCCAGCCATGCAGCGCGGCAATGTCAGCATCCGAGCGGAAGCGAGGATACTCGTGATCAGGGAGATTGAAGCCGCTGTCCAGGTGGATCAAGCGGTCGAGCTCTTGCTGACGGCTGCGATCGACTTGGGCTCCGACGGCGGCCGCGACTGCACCGTGCCGTCTATTTCGAGCGGTGGTCGAAGGAGTACGGTGGACAAACCAACCTAGTCCCGGTGTGTACGTATCCCTCGTTGACTCCAAAATCGAGGGATACGAGGCTTCATGGGTTCCTGTGACGATCATTGAGGTGGATTAGCCGTACTTACATCGAAACCCTCACGTCGCCTTCTGACACGTGTCAATGTGCCTAAACCATCTTCCGAAAACGAGGATGCCGGCGACTCACGGGCTAGCGAGCCAGCAGGCGAGGTGTGGCTGTCGTAATGCTGGCCTCGAGCGCTGCTGCGGCTTCTAGTCAAACTGGAGCTGCTAGACTCCCCAAGGCGGTTGATGCCAGAGGCTATCCGTCGAAGCTGCTCTAGCTCATCTGGAAGCAAGCGGCGCTCCAAGGTCAACCTAGTGCGTTGATCGCGGCGCTCCAGTCGTTCATTAGCCATGTGCGAAGCAATACTGCCAGACTGATCAGTCAGTCCCTTGACGCTCGCCCCTCCTGCTTGGGAGCGTGGCATGTCCACATCAACTTTAGTTTGCACAGAGGGCTCATTGTCATGCCGAGATTGAGAGGTGGAACGTTCAATGTGAGAGTTGCGTTGTTCGTCTTTCAGATGGTATCGCGACACGCTGCTGTCCAAATTGATGCGCTCAGCTGCGTGCTGACGCGCATAATTGCCCTGAGCTGCGGACGTCGAGTCTTCTAGAGTAGATGGCGAAGCGATTGTCGATGCTGAAAGTGAATTGTGAGTCTGTAGATGGATGTTTGCTCCTCTCCGACTTTGCGCGATGGCTGCTCGTCTGTCCTCCAAAGCTGCTTGCAGTCTAGCCTGTCGCTCTCCCGTAGGTGTGACCCCTATCGATCGAAGACGTCGGTTCTGGGGAGGCTGGGTGTAATAGGCTTCAGAGAGGGGTAGATCCGGCTGTGGCACGTGTCCGCACTCACACCTCCAAATAGCCGCGTGCTCAAGGATCTCCATAAGCCGTTGCTCTGGCCATTGTCATTGGAGAAATTTTCCGAATAACTAGTGCTGCGGGTAGAATGATCAATGGAACTGCCACTATAACTTTTGCGGACGGCATGCTCGACCTGCTGGGACGTGCTGGCACCATCCTGGGGTGCAGATGATGCAGAGCCAAAGAAGCGACTCAATGAAGAGTTGTTGGTAACAAGGCGCGCCCGTTTCTCGGCCTCTGCTTCCAGCTCATCCGGAACATCTTGGACCTGCTCGGCAGCTCAGAGACCCGCACCAGTCAGTCCTGCGGGGCAAAGCTGCAAGCCCTACAGCACTCACCCTCATTCGCCTTTGCAGAAAGTCAGAATGAGGACGCTGTAAGATTGGAGCCTGGAAGGTGGAAGATCAAGTTTCAGAGGGCGGATTGGCGCAGAGGTAGGCACACATCTCATTCGAAAAGATTCGTTCGCTGAGCGATTTCGTTTGCCGCATAAAACGCTGGCCCTCTTTGGCGGTTTAGCCACAATCACTTTCCCTTCAGCTGTGCTTCTTCGTTGCTCAGTGCGCAGCCAACGGGCTCCATCTCTTTCATCCATCTCGGAAAAGACATTGCTGTCTAGATGCCCACCTGACCATTTTCGCCACGCTTTTCAGCGCGGCCCGCGGTACCTTCGAGTTCATTGATCTCCATTCCTCTGCGATGCGTGCGATGACGAGTTCCGGAGATCGTGGAAGTCTTGCCCAGCATGGATCCCGCGATTCTTTTCACTTCCGCGTCGGATGCGCCTTGTGGAATGCTCGGAAATTTGGGGCTGTCGCCGCTTTTGCACATGAAGCAGGAAAATAACTATCGTGTAGGTCACGAATAACAGATCCCGGTCAGTGATCCAGTGTCTCAAATTGTCTTTTGGTCGTTGGGATGACTCACAGCCTTCAGGAAACGCCTGTGGAGAATGTGAACGATGTCGCGACGCTGAGCATGGGCCAGATGGCTGCTCGAGGTGGCGCCATGAGGCTTGCGATCCGCAGCAACTTTGAGAAGCTCTGCTTCGGTCGTTCGAATTTGAGGTCCCGTAGGCGGCAATGGAGCTTTGCAAAGTCCGAAGCATGCGAAAAGCTGGTGTGCAAGGTCACGACATGTCAGTCTTGGGCAAGGTACATTAAAGACTAAAATCAAGACTCACGCTTCTCGAAAGACGCTTTTGCAAAATTTGTACGCTATGACTACGCCGATGCGTGCGATGACGAGTGCCAGAGATGGTCGAGGTCTTGCCTAGAAGGGATCCCGCAAACTTTTTGACTTCTGCGTCTGTCGCTCCTGCAGGGAGTTGTGGAAATTTGGGACTGCTGCTCTTGCACCCTCCAAAGCACGAGAAAAGCTGTCGAACGAATTCATCGTTAGTCCTTGCAGTCTGCTATTTGCGCAACGTTAGCTTGCTCACCTTGCCCAAGAAGCGCTTTTGCAACACCTGCTCCGAGCGCAGGCCACGCTTCGCAAGAACGTGATCGCGCGTCCGCTCTACGAGACGCCTGGAGCTCGTTGCCCTGGTGCCCTTCTCGCGCGATTTGTTTGCGCGCTCTTCGGCTTTCCGAAAGGCTGCTTCAAGTGCGGTCAACGAGTTCTGGTCCGAGAGCGTAGAAGATCTGACAGAAGCTGCTGATGGATCGTTTGTCTTGTGCTGAGCAGAAAGCGAAGCAGCACGATGAGGGGATGAAGGTAAGCAGGGAGGTGGGCCTCGTTGCCGAACGCTCGTCTGCATTCAATGTGGCGGCCTTGCCTGACTTACAGCCAGTGTTGGCTGTTGCTCTCAAAGAACGCACCGTCATCGCCACGACGGTTGCAGGGCTAGCTCTGATCGATACTCACTCGTGAAGCTTCTCCGCCTCGCAACCCGTCGCCAGCATCACTCAGGCGAGTTGGAGATAGTGCATGAGGCGTATCAAAGCTGTGCTGCTGGCTGTTGTGACCAGCTTGGAGCTCGGGCGGGCGTCTTTCTGGCGAGAGAAGCCATGGATCAAAGACTGGACGATCGTGGCCCAGATTCTCCTCCTCCCAGGGTGTTTCGTGAGTTCCGCCGCAGGCAAGTCTGGGGACCTTGCCCTGCCTACGAGCCCACGCAGCGATGGCAGTCTTCTTTGCGCGGGGGCTCATCGGTCCTGGCAATTCTGAAAGACGAAGGTCTTCTGTTTCTGTTTGCAGCGGTCGCTCATGCAGGGGCTGTCTACCGTGCTCGGTCCAATGCTGCATTCTTGCCATGTGCGCGCTGGTCAATCTTCTGAAAGCAGGACTGTCGGAATGCGCTGGACTCAATGGGGCAAGGCCGGACTCCTCCGCGGCCGAAGGGCGGGTGCATCCCCTGCAGAGCTGCATTGATACACCGTGGGCATGTCAGTCAGCGCGTACCTAGAGCTCGAACAGTCTTGATGACGACGAACCTTGAATAGGCTCTCGGTCAGGCCTCGCTTGATGAGGTCAGGGATGGAAGACGGGGGAAGTTTTGTCGTAGGATGGACCGTACTGGCGCTGCCCGCAGCAGACGAGGTTCGCTTAAATTTTCTAGGTGGTGCGCGTGGCGGTAGCAGTGGCAGCCGGATGCTTTCGGGGATTGCTTTCGGTCCCGATTCTGCAGGATTGGCACGCGGTGGACGAGGGATCCACTTCCACACTCGATCCCACTGTTCGGGGTCGTCAAAATTCTCATTGGGTGGCTGACGCGGTGGAGACTCTTGCATCAAACGGGACGGCGAAATTTGACCACCGTTGCGTAGATGGGGTAAGTCCTTGGGCGTCAAAGAGGACTCCTTGAGCAACGTAGGCATGTCGGAAAAGGATACCGATCGCGAGTGCCGGGAGCGCGTTGCGTCTGAGAAGGAGGCGGAGCTGATTCGCCAGTAGTGATCGGCAACCGACGGCGGTGGAGACCACGCCTTTCCGCATCCAGTGCAACCCATGTTGCCAACGGCTCGCAAGGCCTGCGCGAGAAGAGAGGCAAGTCAGCACTGCTTCTCTGGGAGTGGAAGCTATTTGGCAGAGAACGTCGCCCACCTTCTTCGCCCTGGCGTAGCCACTCTTCAACAGTCGGCGCTGCAAATTGTTCCGCATCATAAAGGCTACTTGTCCATGATTTGAGCGTTTGAGCAAGGTCATCTCAGTGCTGATCGGCATGATCGCCTCGATTTGTACTCGTCTTCGCTGAAGCTCCTCCGAGCGCTTCGGAACGTTTAGCGGGGTGAGGTCCGGTTTCTTGCGGCCGGACCGTTTGAAGTGAGTGAGATCTGGAGAGGTCGAACCCGGCTCATGTGCGTGTTGGGATAGACTTGACACTTCTGGCTGGAATGAAAACGATGTCGCTGGCTTGAAGCTCTTGCTACGGAAGACCTGCTTGCCAACTTCGTTCCTCAAGGGCCCAGTTGGAGAGCCTGGATTGCCCCACGCTGATTTTGGTGGTGTTGTGAGGGATTGCCGTCCCCAATAAGAGTTGCCAAGGAAAATGTTGTTGATGTGCGGATCATGCCTGGAGGGAATCGGGCTTTCTGGCCGACTCTGACCAAGCAGGAGATGATCAGTGCGTCTTACACCCTTGCCGGATCCATCTCTATGCCTTGAGTGGGACGACGAAGAGGTGCTGCTCTTTCGAGATCCTGTGCGGCTGCCATAGATGTAGAGCGAGCGCTCGTCGGAAGCGCTGGCTCTACTTGCCCATGAATTTGCCTCTGCCTCGAGCTTTTTGGACGACTCCCTAATATGCTTGTTGCTCTTCAGGTCGACGACGCCTGAATCACAGGTTATGCAGCCCAACAGGGAAACGGGGCTCTGGTTCTTGGGCGCTCCTTTGCGAAGTGCGACGCCTTTCGAAGGATGAATCTAAGCGAAGAGCAATTCGCATGTCAGCGCGAAGGATTGAAGCTTCAAGTCCATTACCTCTGACCTACGCACCCAAGCGGCCAGCATTTGTTTGCCTCGCGTCAAAGCATTGTGCGCAGAGGCAACAGGTCCCCCGCTCTCACCGAACAGCACTGCAGCTGTAAGCTGGCAGAATGCAAGTGCAACTAGTACCGCTATCAGCCTCATGGTGTGCGCTTCGCTCGCTCAAGATGCAGAGATACAAAGCCCCAAAGCTTCAAAGC